CCCCAACTTTGTAAACAGTTGCCACAAACCTTTATCTTCCCCGTTATATCAACACCATCATAACTAGTCCAACTCTCTCTAACCACAACACCCACATAAGATTCCTCTAGCCAGATATTTTCAAACTGAAAATGTTGATACCGTCGATTGTTGATTCTTGGAGAAGTAATGATGGCGTGGTGGAAAGGGCTATGGTTTTGATACAGAAACACGAGTGCTACAGTAACTTGCTACAGGAACTCAGAAGCATTCGTGCTACAGTACCTGTACCTAAAAAAAAAGATAGATGATTGTTTTGGAAACAAACAAAAACACCAATAGTTTTTGGAAACTAATAAAAACCCAAAGGGATTAACAACTTTCTTGTTATTCCAAATCTTATCTTTCAAAGTACACAAAATCCCTTGTATATAGGGAAACAAGAGATAGCCATAACTCCCTTTGATGTGTGTTCAAAAGACACAATGTCAGAGGGACACCATAACTTAGGTGAAAACAACAATTCAAAGATATTTCAAAGGACACCTAACTAGGTTGAAAACAACACATTCAAAGATACACCTAACTAGGTTGAAAACAACTTATTCAAAGGACACCTAACTAAGTCTGAAAAAACTCATTCAAAGGCACAATTCAAAAGACACCTAATTAAGTTTGAAAAAACTCATTCAAAGGCACAATTCAAAGAACACCTAACTAAGTTTGAAAACAACACAAATGAGCTGAAATTCATAGTCAATGATCAACCAAGTGCTCCTTGATTGTTGTCTTCAAAGATGATGGTTTGAAGGAACCCAAATGGCCCTAAAAGGAGCTGTAGGAGCTTTGTCATCTTCAGATTTGAACATGTCACTCCCACCCAAGCCCATCTTCACTTGGACTGTCTTCATCAACTTCACTTAAATGGAATCAAAGACCAAGGGCCCATGTCTTAGGACAGCTTGTAAGGCTAGGCCTAGATATGGACCTCCATCATTCTTCCCCTTCTTGAAAAGTTTCAACTTGGTCAAGAAGTTGACATGGCTGTCTTCCTTGTATTGGCTAAGTCACTTACATTGAAGGTGTTGAAATTTTGTAGACGGAGGCAGCTCTACTTGGTAAGCATTTTCTGGTTATACCTTCTTGTTGGATGATCCTTGTAAGACCCTCCGCTTTGGGGCATAAGTTTATTCTTTTCTTTTAGAAGGGAATCGTTCCTTCCTTAAGTTGAACCCACATTAAGTCACCTTCTTTTAAATTCCACAACAGTATTTTAGCTTGCTTGGCATCTTGTAGGCTTCGTTCTCCGTCTTCTCATATGTGGCTTTTGCTCTAGCAATGGAGTTTGACCAATTTCAGTAAGCTCTGTCCTCGGCCTTTAAGTTTAGAGGGGCCTCGGCCTTTAAGTTAGAGGGGATACTAGAGTGTGCGTTGCTCAAATCAAGAGGAACAAGTGGATTAGCTCCATAAACTAATTCAAAATGAGTAAAATTAGTGGTCTTACTTTTCGAACTGTTGTAAGCAAATTCAGCATGAGCCAACAAAGAATCCCAATTCTTTACTTTCCCCTTTAGCAAACTTTGCAAAATGTTGCCTAAGCTTTGATTGACCACTTCTGTTTGTCCATCTGTTTGAGGATGAAAAGCCGTACTGAACTTCAAGGTAGTTCCTAACCTTGCCCACAAATGCCTCCAAAAATGACTCAAAAACTTGACATCCCTATCACTTATCACTCACTATGCTCCTAGGAATTCCATGGAGTTTTACAACATTTTCAAAGTACAAATTCAGAATATGAGATGCATCATTAGTTTTGTTACAAGCAATAAAATGAGCCATTTTTGAGAATCTATCTACTATAACCATAATGGAATCATTATTTCGTCTTGTTCTCGGCAAGCCAACAATGAAATCAATACTTACATCTTCCCATGGTGAGCTTGGAATCGATAAAGGCATGTATGGTCCGTGAGCTTGTAAGGTCATCTTGGATTGCTTACAAGTATTACAACCCTCAACAAGTCTTGAAACCTTTTTCCACATCTTTGGCCAATAGAAATTCTTGCTTGCCAATTCATAGGTTTTGTCTCTTCCAAAGTGACCGGCTAGGCCTCCACCATGGACTTCCTTAAGTTAAGAAATTGCTTCCCTTAAAATAGTTTTGAGGAACACAAAACAGCGATCAAGCTTGAAAAGATAACCCATCATGAATAGTTGAAGTCCCTAAATGCCACCATCTTTCCTTTCCTAACTCTCTCCCAAATTTGACCGAAATCCCCATCACTCTCATACAAGGTCTTAATATTCTCAAATCCTATTACATGAGCATGCATGGTACTTAGAACCTCATATCTCCTAGACAATGCATCAGCCACTCTATTACTTGGACCATCCCTATACTTCGCTACAAAATCAAAGGATTGCATGTATTCAACCTAAGAAGAATCTCTCTTGCTTAACTTAGCTTGACTTTGTATGTATTTGAGGGCTTGATGGTCAGTAAATAAGATGAAAGAGTTGGCCAACAAATATGCACTCCAATGTCTTAGAGCACGAATCAAGGCATAGAACTCAAGATCATAGGCAGAATATTTAGGCAGAATATTTTCTCCTACAACTCATTCAATTTTTCACTAACAAATGCAATAGTTTGCCCTTCTTGACTCAAACAAGCCCCTATTCCCAAAACCCCACTAGCATCACACTCCAATTTCAAAGGTAAGTGAGAATTAGGCAAGGCCAAAACAGAGCTTTGTTTCATTGCATTTCTTTTAAAGTGTTAAAAGCAAGGGTGTGGCTTGAGGTGTCCATTTAAACAAAACCCCTTTTTTTCATGCAGTCTGGTTATAGGATACTGTTATAGTTACTAAAACCTTTAATGAATCTTCCTATAAAAAAGAAAAAAAACCCCATGAAAACTCCTTACTTGAAACAGATTGTTTGGAAATAGGCCAATTCAAACAATGGCCTTGACTTTCAGAACCATTACTATGACCATCTTTAGATACAACATACCCCAAAAAACTAGATGGGGGCTAATCACAAAATGACCACTTCTCTACCTTAGCATACAACGATTCACGGTCAAAACCTCAAAAACAAGTCTCAAAAATGCATTATACATGCTCATTGTAAACTAGTACTAAGATCAAGGAATATTCATTCAAAGTATATCACCACAAATTGTTAAGAAAAGGTTTGAGTACCTCATTCATGAGTCGCATTAAAGTGGAAGTGTGAATTAGAGTAGTCCCATTAGGCCGATGACCAACCTTCATACAGCCCCTCATTGCCGTCGTTGAAGGTTACGTGTCTTCACTCATCACCTTCTCATAACACGAATTTGGTAGAATCATTGCAGATCAATCCTGTTTGAGAAAAATTGAAGCTCCATGCAATCGATCAAGCATTCATCAAGCCTTGAATAGGAACCTGCTACTTTGATCGTATCTTGTTAACAGCCCTTGAATCTTATCCCATTCTCCACTTTAGGCCTTTCTTTTTTAGGGGGAACAACAAAGGCTGGCACAACACAAGGAGAAACACTCTCCCTTATAAAGCCTCTCTTTAACAATCATCAAACTTGCTATTTGGTATTCATCACTCTCTTTAGGGACTCATTCTATAGGAGTGCTTATGATGGAAATTTGAGCGCTCCCGGAAACAAAACTGATTCTCATGTTTGTGATTGATGCTTTTAGAGGGGCAAACCGATACGGTAAAAAGTGTTCGGAAAACTCTCTCAAAACTCTCTAAAGTAAGAAAATGTGTCACGGCTTTTGGAATTCAATTGAATTCCTGTTTAGGCTCAGCCTCACATCAATTGGAACATAGCTAGCAGCTTTTTCATGATCTCACTCTTCTCATCATTGGATAACAATCCAACCCATTCCAACTTCTCTTTTCTTCTTCCGCTTCTCGGGTAGTAACGGAGCGCCATTTGTGAGCAAGATCGACGTTTACCCTCATGGAAAAAAGGTGTGACATATTGCCTTTCCTTGGTTTGCACATCCTTATCATACAACCAAGGCTTACAACCAAGGTCTCCCAAGAAGCAAGTGACAAGATGTTATTGGGATAACATGGCAGCTCACCTCATCCACGTATTGCCCAATTGCAAAAGGAACTAGACACTTCTTAGTGACTTTAATTTCATGCTTAGAATTCAGCCAAGCCAACCTATAAAGGTTGTCAATTGGCTCGGTTTTTAGTCCCAACTTCGCAACCATTTCATTGGATACAACATTCTCATATGCACCACTATCAATAATAACTTCACACAATTTATTTTTTGTCAAACATCTAGTGTGAAACAGGGATTTCCTCCTCCAATCCTCCTCATTCTTTTCAATATTTCCTCCTCCAATCCTCCTTACTCTTTTCAATACTCAGGATACGCATCATTACTAAACATTCCCTATCTTCCATTGCATCACAAACAAGGGTTGCACCCTCATCAACATTCAATTCATCATTTACCACAAGAGAATTAGCATGGTATATTTCTTCCTCAATCTCCTCTATTTCTATAAGGGCCATTACCTTCCTTGAAGGACATTCAGATTGGAAGTGTCCATACCCTTGGCATTTGAAGCATTTCGAAGCATTCTTAGAGGTACTTTTGGACAGTGGGGCAGATTGGGTATTTCTTGATGTGCTGGAAGTGTTTTGAAGAGGGGGTTTTGGTGAGGGTGTGTACGTGGTCTTGATAGGGGCAGAATGGGGGCTATTAGATCTTGGTTTGTAGTTAAAAGGTCTGGTATTGATTTTGTTTTGGTGTGAATGCTTCAAACTTGTCTCACTTCTCAATGCTAATCTCTTCAATTCAATAAGAGATTCATAAGGGTGAAAGCTTACCATGTCTTGGATGTCAAAACGCAAGCCTTAGAGAAAACGCCCCATGATCAGCTCCTCGGTCTCCTTGACCTCACACTTCAATAAGAATTCCTCAAATTCCATGGTGTATTGTTCCACGGTTTTAGTATCTTGTTTGAGGCTCAACATTTTCTCAATCATTTTCTCAATCATTTTCTGTCTATAATGGGGTGGCAAGAACACCGCATTCATCTCTTCTTTCATCCTATCCCATTGAGTAATTTGAGGCCTCCCTTCCCTCATCCTTCGTTTTTGCAAATTATCCCACCAAAGGGCAGCATATCCCTTCATAGCAACAAGCATTCATTCTTTTTGTCTTCGGACACCTCCCTCAGTTCAAAGGATCTCTCCATTGAGTTATATCCATTCAAGATAGGATCAGCAATCTGATCTTACCATGAAATTCAGTTAATTCGATTTTATAGTTTGAAAGATTCTTCGTGCTGTCTTTCAACACGGATGGGTGGTGGCAAACGCCTTGCCCCTTGGCCAAATCCTCCATGAAACAATCCTCTCCCTCTCCCTCTAAAACCTCCACATCCCAACATAAGGTGCTGGTCCTCTCCATTGAAATCTTCATTAGTCAGTTCCTCTTCATGAGGACTTCGGGTATTTGGGGGAGTATTTTGGATGAGTGTTTCTAAGGCTTCATTCATGGCCTTAAGAACTTCCATTTCCAACCTCATTTTCTCAATTGCTGAGGCTAGATCTTGATCTTCTAACATGACTTGTTTGTCTTTGTTAAGAGATGCTTAAGAGATGCTTTGGTTGTTATTAAGCAATAACTTGAAAACAAATAAAGTGAAGAAGTAAAAGATTGTTGGCTCTTGATACCAACTGAGTGGCGCTGGTGAAAGGCTATGTTTTGATAGAGAACATCGAGGATGCTTAACAGCGAACTTGGCTACAGGAACTCGAAGCATTTCGTGCTACAGCTACCTAAAAAAAAGATAATGAAATTGTTTTTGGAGAACAAACAAAACCAATAGTTTTGGAAACTAATAAAACCCAAATGTGATTAACACTGTCTTGTTATTCCAAATTCTATCTCTCAAGGTACACAAAATCCCTTTATATAGGAAACAAGAGATAGCCATAAACTTCCCTTTTGAATGTGTTGTTCAAAGACAACAATTTCAAAGGACACGCTAACAAAGGTTAAAACAACACATTCAAAGATACACCTAACTAGAGTTGAAAACAACTTATTCAAAAGGACACCTAACTAAGTTGAAATAACTCATTCAAAGGCCACAAATTCATAAGGACACCTAACTTAAGTTTGAAAAAACTCATTTCAAAGGCAACAATTCAAAGAAACACCTAACTAAGTTTGAAACAAACACAAATGAGCTGGAATCATAGTCAATGATCAACCAAGTGCTCCTTGATTGTTGTCTTCAAAAGATGATGGTTTGAAGGAACCCCAAATGGCCCTTAAAAGGAGCTGTATCTTCAGATTGAACATGTCACGCCCCACCAAGCCCATTCTTCACTTGAGCTGTAGCTTCAGATTGAACATGTCACTCCCACCAAGCCCATCTTCACTTGGACTGTCTTCATCAACTTCACTAATGGAATCAAGACCAAGGCCCACGTCTAGGACAGCTTGTAAGGCTAGGCTAGATGGACCTTCATCAAGTAAGAATTAAAAGAGGAGAGTGATCGGACTTACTTGAGACTAAATTCTGAACCTGATAATTAGGAAAGTGAGTCTGCCAAAAGACATTTCCCAAAGCTCTGTCCAATCTTTCCTCCACCTGATGTTGACCACGACCGTGAGCCCAAGTAAAAGGGTACCCCGACATGCCCAAATTAACCATATCACAGTCAGCCACAGTGTCCCAAAAACCCTGTAATAAATATGGAGGATGAGGAAGACGCCCTTTCTTTTCTTCAGCGTACATTAGATCATTAAAATCTCCACAAATTAGCCAGGGGAGATTTTCCAAACGAGCTAAGGAGCGAAGAACATTCCATGAAGCTTGTCTACGGTATCTTTCCGGCATTCCATAAAATCCAGTGAGGAGCCAAATAAAACCTTCAGTTTCAACAATTTTCATATCAATAAAATTTGGAGAATAACGTAGAACTTCTAAGTTAATAGGAGAATTCCACAAAATGGCTAAACCACCACTGTGTCCCATGGCATCCACAGTAAAACAACA